GGCTTTTACACAACCATGATGGGTCTGGACTTCAGGTCCATATTACCTTATTTAAAATAAGTTTTATAAACTCAAAATAAAAAAATAAAAATTACAACCATGGCGGTTTTCCTTTGGAGGGAAAACAAAATTTCCTTTCCTGCACCATAACACCTGCAGAGATTAAAAGTCACTCAGCACATAATCCCAAAATCTGGGTGATGGAAGAGCGAGACCAACTTTGCCTATACCCCATATTCAGCAAAAGCTTAATCGGTTGAATTCAACAAAGCTGAAATATCCGCTCACAGTAACAATAATATTCTTGATTGATTAAAATGAAGTAAGTCTCTTTGCTTATCCCTTGTAGCGCCCATCTACTGGCACAAAAATGACAATAAAACCACAGGATGAACTGCAAGAGTCTTTAGGTCACTTCTTTAAATTTAGACTTAAAGTCTAACAATTAATACACTACAGCTATAAATCAGAATCAGAATACTTTATTAATCCCTAAGGAAATTATGTGTGATTTGTAGTTTGTGTTAGTCTTGGGATAGGTAGACCCCATCCCACATTATCTAACTCAAACACTTCAAACACAGCAATTCACACTGGAAGAAATACTATTTAATTCAACATGTCTTTGGACCTTCAGAGGAAAACACTTAACATCGAACACAGAAAGGTCCCAGCAGACTCCAGAACTGAAATCTGGGACTTTTGCCCAGTAAGGTGCTAATAAGTGCTAACCACTGCATCACCGTGCCATCAGAAGAGATTGAACTATTTCTAAGGCGACTCAAGGGAAGCACTGAAGGAAACTGAACAAAAACTAAAGTCACCAGTCCATGTGCAGGTGGCCAGCATACTGTTACACTTGTGCTCGCTTTAAACTCCATGCTGGTGTTTTAAAACCAACTTTGTTCAACAAAAGCCATTCTATTCAATCTCCACTTTATTGTGACAAAGGCAGAGACAGCTGTCAGCTGCTGTAGATCTTGTATTTTGCCAGGCTCTATTCAAACTGTCTTTTCTTCTGTCAAAAGGGGCCTGCTGGTTTTGTTTGTCCTCTGATCCTCTGGAGAAGCAACACAGAACAAAAAAAAAAATCTTATAAAGATTTCTTCTCCAGGACGGTTTTCAAGTGAGGCACTGCAGCGAGGCCTTCTGGGGAGTTGAAGCCCATTGTTAAGACAGCTATAAAGGGAGCTTTTCCAAAGAGGGATTGGGCTTGATGAAATGTGATGTATGCTTTACTGACAAATGATGAATAATCTGATGCATATCTTTAAAAACACCCCCCCCGCAAAAAAACCCCTCTATCATCTTGTCTGAAACAAAACTTGTTTCAGACTATATCTATGCAGCACAGATTCCCATTTCCAGCAGCTGCAATTTCATGAGCAAATATATCAAGCTTTTTTTCCATGTTACATTTTCAGAAAATGGCTTGTTGTGTCACCAGCACTTAGATCATTTACAGCTTAATCAGCTTTACTGTTTTTTCCCCTCTCAAAGTCAGCAACAGGCCCTTTGGGTCTGTGCGAACAAGTCGTGCGTATAGAATCGGCAGAAAAGCACACTGAGCTAGAGACTGAGGGCAGAAGGAATTATGTGGTTACAGATGCAAACTGCTGTGGTTCATGAATACCAGACAGAATAGGGCCTGAGGACATACTGTAGTGTTAAAATCAAACAAAGCAAATGGGAGACCAACAAGTTTTTAAAAAAATAGAAGAACAAAAAAAATGGTATGGTGTGAAGAGGCTTTACTAAAACATCATGTAAGCATAAAGTAATATATGGTACACTACACAGCCCAAACCTAGGTTTTAAAACATCCCCGTCTTGTGGTTAATAAGGCCTGGAAAATATAATGCAAACATTGAACTGATCTCTAAATGAGAGTATACAATATTATAGTTCTAAATGGTCCAAAATTTAAGCAGAGGAGAACTGGTGGAAGAGATGGGTTTACCCTTAAGCTGCTGTATGCTATTCCTGGTGAGAAAATGGGCCGTACTGGCCTACATACCTGTATCCTGCAACCGTTTAATGGACTACATCTGATAAAGCTGAAAGGCCAAACTGCTCCAAAATCTGTTTCTATAACAATCAATTTTACCTGATTGTTTTACTTTCAAGTTTTCTTTACTAATGAGCTTCGAATGAAGCAGAGCCATCGTTCACATTATAAGTGAATGAAATAATCGTGCATGTCTTTGCGGTGCAAGTACCGAGACGGATCCAATGGGCCAAATTTAATGAGCCAAAAAAGTTTGACCGACTTCCTACTGAAATGCACCAGGATGACATAATACTTAAAATGTTAAACACACAGTGGATGGCAACAGAACCACAGCTTAACGTTCAGGAATTGGCCACAACAGTAAAACCACCTGCCCTATGATGTGTAAATCTCTGACCCATCATGGCATGGAAACGGGACCTCAGGGGGTGTCCTGCAGTGCCTGGCATTGCGACATTGGCGAGAGAGCCGTGTGCTGGCTCCAAAAGCAGAGTGCAACTTTTAATGAGTAATTGCAATGCAGATGGGTAAAGAAAACTTTCCTAATTAGAGTTTCAATAATAAAGCAAATAACAAAGCGCCAAACACTGCATAATGAGGCTCACTTGATACAAAGAAGCACAAATACAAGGACTGCGATGCTGACCAAATATGAGCTAAATCTAACTAGAAAGCTGCATCTGGCTCACTACCCCCTCAGAACACATTCATTCACTGATGATGAGCAGCATTTTAAACATGTATCAGCTTTGGAAAGACAAATAATCAACACGAGTACTCTCTTGCCTAAGCACCACTGCTGTAAAAAACAACTGTGCCTTAGGTCTGAAAGTGTAAAAATATGCCGGGACAGTGTGCATCAGTGCTTCTAGCAAGGATTCACTCTGACACTCTGTTACAATACAGACTGTTTACCATTTAATCAACGGTAAACATCCGTTTTCTTCACTATAATCAAATCCCAAATCCATCAGTCACACCTTCCTCTCAGAGACACGCTGTTGAAAATAAGCCAAACGTGTCGCTGAGCTTTTCATCTGGCCGGCCTTGGACCGCTCGCTGAGTGTATTATGGACTGAATGGATTTGGTTAATGCCAGAGCAGAACAGCTATCCTCTGCAATTACATTAACTAACAGCCCCTGCAGTCAACACAAAGAGCAGTTGTCAGGATGGGGAAAAAAAATTCCTCGAAATAAAATGACATGCTGTCAGTCAGTCATCACGGCAGACTGATCCACTGTCCACAGAGGTCGGAAGCTTTTTAACTCTTTTTCATTGTTTTTCTTGCGATTGTTGCTTAAC